GCATAGACTGTTGGAGTAGAATGGTGTAAGAATTAGCCTTCTAGCACCAGCCAATATTGAGATACACACGGACAACTGGATTGACAGGAGATGATGAAGATGAAAAAAGTGGACTGAACAAAAATGGTCGTTTTGCCGATTTTTGACTTTTCTCTTAGACAAGGTGTAGAGCCACGCTAGTGGTACCAATGGAGTCCTCTGGTCAAGATAAGGTCCTCTAAGAAGTCTGGTAAGCATAGGAGCTCGTTTCCCGGTATAGCAAAGCTGCAAAAGTCGTGGCAGCCATATTGTTTTGGGGTGAATCCTACTTAGTAACGCTACCGCGTTACTAATACATATCCCATAAATGAGTAGCATGCTTCCAAATACTCCAAAGAGTCTCTTCTTCTTTGAGGCATACACACTCTCTCCTGCTATCACTGACTGATCCTTAAAGAAGCTTTTAGCGCAACAAAAGGTCCATAATGATGTTACAATGAAAATTGTAGTTGTAACACACGGAAAGTAACACAAAACAGATAATGAGACTCTAGTCTCGTCGCAGGGCTGGGTGACAAGACTAATGAGACTCATAGTGCAATTAGAATGCTGGTGGCATAAAAGGAACCAATCATCAAAAACATATTCATTTAATATATACAGAGAATGGGCCAGAGCTCAATACAGCAGACAGTATCCATATAGCAATGGTGAGGGTCAGTGCTACCCAGGGTCTCATGAACTGCTTGTGAAGATGTGGTTTGACAATAAAGAAAAACTGATCAAATGATATAGCAGCTAGTGTTATGGTGATTACAGAAGCTCCAAACCAAAGTCTAAAGGCAACAAAAATATATGTTTCTGCATGCCTTTTTCTCATCTGTACTACCAAAGATCCACTCACCAGCAGCTAATGCAATGATAGTGAAAGGAAGGTACAGTAGATTCAATACAAGATGTGCCAGTATGAGAGAAGTGAAGAATATTGTTGATGATTGTTTCCAGGACTTCTTTTGATAGAGTGTAATAAACAGGACAACACTATTAGCTATTAGAGCAGCTAATGTTGTTAGTGAGAGAACAGCAATAGTAACAGGGCGATTAAAACTTCCAGTAAAATTACAATTGCTATCCATACTCTTTTGACTTTATCTTTCTTGAAATTGTTTAAGTGCATTGGATCATAAAAATAAACCACACCTATAACAGCAATGATGCACAGGAACACATAAAGTAAAAATAAATATAACTAGAAAGAATGTAAAACACTTAGGGGCTCCACCTCCTAACTGCACCTCCCAGTCACATTCAAAAGCATGTACGTACAGACAGAAATTCTTGTAAGGGCATCACCCAATTAATATAAAACTAATTTTGGCATTAAAATAACAAACATCAAAATACAATCAAAAGACTTCACAGCAAAAACTATGTAGTTTTGGCCAAAATTGTAAAAAAACAATTAGTTCAAACAAAAGTTCACATCTACAGTAGAATTAAGTAATTAAAATGAAAGAATGTGTACATACAGTAAACTACACACTGACAAAAGGTGATGGTCTTTTAAATAGGGAAAGGAAAGCACTTTTAATCTCAGGCCTAAAGTAGGACTGGACAATAGGATTAGCTACTGTAATAAAGAGAGAACAAATAATGCTGGATATAACTAATGCAATAGGAACATCTATCAGTGGTATCAAAATGACGATAATCACACTAGGCAAGAAACATATCCCATAGACAAGAAGCATGGATCCAAATATTCCTAAGAGCCACTTCTTCTTTGATCCATAAGTGTCATCATTAGATAGCTGTGACTGCTGTGTTATAAACCTGTGAGTAAAGCAAAGGGTCCAAACTGAGGTAACAATGATCACTGAAAAGAGAAGCAATGCTATGATCAAAGAATACACTATAAAGTCAACACTAATCCATAAAGGAAAACAGAAGCCAAGCAATTCATCAAAATTAAAATTTCCAAGCCCATAGAATGGAGTGGAACTCAATACAGCAGACAGTGTCCATATAGCAATGGTGAGGGTCAGTGCTACCCAGGGTCTCATGAACTGCTTGTGAAGATGTGGCTTGACAATAAAGAGAAACCGATCAAATGATATAGCAGCAACTGTCATTACTATGATCAGTAATATACATAATGCAGTAAAAGAACAAAAAGAGCATGTCCTTGTCTTCTCATCATCTGTACTACCAAAGATCCACTCACCAGCAGCTAATGCAATGATAGTGAAAGGAAGGTAAAGTACATTCAATACAAGATGTGCCAGTATGAGAGAAGTGAAGAATATTGTTGATGATTGTTTCCAGGACTTCCTTTGATAGAGTGTGATAGATAGTACCACACCATTAGCTATCAGAGCTAGTATCATCTCAACAGTAAGAACTGCTGCTACTGCTGGACCACTGAACTCACCAGTAAAAGTGAATTTGTTTTCCATGTTAACTGAGGAATAGTCAAGACTGAACTCACTAATAAATTTTAGCCAAACTCGGAAGGTTAAATTCCTTTAATTTGTCAAGCCATAGTCAGTGGTACCAACATATCAAAATAAACAATGATTTATATACTATCCCCAATTACATATTGTTAATTTAAGGTATATATGGCTTATACCATCCGGCATGCACTCCCTTTGATCTTACAGATACTATATATGTTATTAAGAGGAGGTTGATCATGCGTCATCACTTTCTCTACTTACATTAAAAGTTGCTATGGCAAGAAGCACATGCCCATAGTATTAAAGAAGATAGTGACGTGCGATACCAAAAAAATCTGATCCAGTTCGATTCCAAGTACTTTTTCTCTGAGTATCGGTGGTATCAAGTACGATTCCACATACCTGAGAAGGTCAAAGTCCAGAGGTGTTTCTAGACAGCTACTGCTGCTAGAATTGACCATCCACACTAAAAATAGGCTTCACTGTTCACTTCCTCACTTTTTCCTTATCGCAAAGATTCAAACAACAATCCAGAAAGTTCAGACAGTAGCTTGAGAAGCTAAAGAAGCATTATTTATCATTTGTGGTGTTCATTTTAATAATAAAATAGTCCTGGGCAATATAACAAAATTCACAATAATTAATCAATATAATATGGCATCGATATGCATCAATACTGAAGAAAAATGAAGGAAGATATCAATAATAGGACCATACCCACAAAATGGTTACATAATCTTAGCAATGGTTAATTAAATATAGCAGTAATATCTCAAAAACTACTAAACTGTATTTTTTGGAAAGCAGATGAAGTAGCTGGAGTACATCAAGCAAAAGAAGGCTTATAATGCTTTTTAATAATGATCATTCTCAGAAATAGCTTCATTTAGCCAACTGGCTACTGCTACAAGTGAAAAGATGGCACTGAGCATCACATTACAACCGGAAAAGAAGAGCTGTAGAATAAAAGAAAAGCAGTTAATAAATAAGATGTCCCATAGACAATTAAC